CTGGCCCCTCAGTGACTTTTTCTTTTTTAAAAAAAGACTGAAGGGCACTCATTACTTCTGAGCCTTCAAAGTACAAAGGAATGAATTTGGGCAATGGAGAAGGCTCAGCACGTAAAGGTGCCCCCAAGCCTGATGACCTGAGTTTCATCCCTGGAACCCACATAGGGTTAGGAGAGAATCAACTCCTGAAAGTTGTCCTCTGACCTCCACACATTCACTGTGGCACGTGCACACCCACACACATACACACTCATGCACACACACACCCCCCAAAATAAATAAATGTAAGAACAAACAAAAGAATGAAGCTTCTGTTGATGATGGTGACTCACTAGAGCAAGAATTACTGGGTTCATTATCTTGGGTCTCAGTCCCTGAGTCACTCCAGGAAATGATCCTAAGGACTGGGAGGAATAAGGGAGGTTCAAAGGGAATTAGAGAAGTTGGCTGTCCCTGAGGTTCGGGAAGGAAGAAATGCTTTGTATGGTGACTAAGAGCAAAGGTTGTGGGGTTCAGACCTGGTCTGCACTTTTGCTCTGTCACTAACTGTCATGCAGTGTACTTAATTGAGTTTCCCTCATGTGTAAAATGGGAATAATAATTGCACCTGTGTCCTGCGTTTGCATCAAATTGTTGTGAAGATGACACATTTAAAGCAGTTTTCCGGGACAATAGCATTTAGATTTCGGGGAATCTGGGCATCTTAGGTTACAGAAGCTATCAGTCACAACGTAGAGTTCTGGGAGAAATTGAAAAGCTGAGAAGTTGGTGACAGACCAAGTTCTAATAACCTTGGCATTGTGGACCGCCCCTGCATTGTAGTCCAATAACAGGACCTCTTCCAACACTGTCCTTGTTTGCCATCTTCTCTCCAGTCAGGCTGCTTCTACTGGATAGTGTTTGACTTGTGTTCATCTTCCACCTTCTTCATTCAAATTATTGGAATAGAGACACATGAATTCTATATGGAAGGCAATAAATGCTGAGCTTGTTGCACAATGGGGAAATGTGGTTTCTCTGCAGAGCATAATAATTACTTTTGCTGTATTACTGAGGAATTTTGACTCCTGTCAGCAGTAGCCTAAATTTGTGCCAGTTGTAGTAGCTTAGGACTTTCCCTTTTTCTTTGCCTTAAGAAAAAACAGACTAACTTCTTATGTTTTTAGTTTTTATTCTTTTTCCTTCCCTTAGAGGAAGAATTAAGGGATAAACAAGAGGTGAGTTCTTAAAAAGAACCACAAGTGAGTGTGAAATTTTGAGGATGATTCAGACGGGGGTTTGGGAGATGCCTTTGGGCCTAGAAAAAGACTTGACGACATTGTGCTTTCTGGACACTGACTACAGGGAAAAGATTTTCCATTGGAGCAGCCGTATATAGTCATGGATGTAGTTTTGAAACCTAAGGAATAAGATATTCTGCCCAAACTCTCAAAGTCATAATTGATTGGTTCAGGGCTCTGTATAGAGAATGTCGAGAGTCCTAAACTGCTGTAGCCTGTCAATGTCCAAAGCCTGAGGATAATTCACTTAATCCCAGGTTGATCTCTCTATAGACTCAGCTTGCAATTCACAATAAATAAGGCAGGGGGAGGTGATAGAGGTAATTACTGGGCTTTGGCCTATTAAATGTGCAAAACACATATGGACAGTGCTGGAGTTTTGTCATGAGTAGAGGGACTTGAATTCTTTCGAGACTGGAATGTGCTGGAACTTTCCAACAGCTTGAAAGAATGCCTAGAATTTCTTTTCTATTATGGTCACTGTTATTTCTCACAGAAGCAAGTGAATCTTCCTGAGCTACCATGATTGGAATAGAAGAGCCTCTGGCTAGCTTGTAGGGAGCAAAGCTGGTTAGTGTTTCATAGCTTAGATGGGTGGGGGAACCCTGTCTTTCTCAAACAGGGGTCTCAGAGAGAACTGCTGGAAATCTTTAACGCCTACAGGAGAATTCATAGTACTGTACAGAGCTGAACCCTGGGAGGTGAGGGAGCGGGGAGAAATCTCCTGCTTCCCTTCAGCTATTAAGCAGAACTCAAAACTTCTGCCTTGTGGCCATTTCCATTTCCAATGATTTTCTATTCTGGAGACATTGTCATTTGTTGCTTTCAAATCCTATGGGGGCCAGAGCCTGTGTTCAGTACAGTCAAGATGGTGGGATCTATTGCATTGATCTTGCCCTTTGGTGATAGAAATTTCTTTTAAATTATTTTAAATATTAAGTGCTGGATAAATACACCTACAATATAGAGAAGGAACAGATTAGTATGGCTATCTTCTGAAGGTCCCTCTGCTCCCCCAGAATGTAAGCTCAGTGAGGACAGGGATTTTGTGTGGTTCACTGCTGTATTCTCAGAACAAGAACTATGCCTGTACACAGGCACGCCATAGGGAATTTGTATTAAATTAATGAATATCTGTAGCCCAACAAGTGATGCTGAGAAAGAAGTACAGTCCCTGGCTGAAGGAGCTCAGGATTTGATGGCCTCCAGTTTTGGAAACTTGGCTTTACTAGTTAATACTGTGTGGCCTTGGGCAAGTTACTGCCCTTAATTCCATGTTCATCTGACAGGAGGTAATAATACCTACTTTAAAAGGTATTCTGAAAAAAAAAAAAAGGTTGTCCGAGAATAAGTTGAAATCATGAATCTGATGGTGTTTGGAGCTCTGAAAATACTGCTCTTTCTGCTTCCCCATTCCCAGTCCCAATCCAATCACTATGGGATTTATATGACTGACTTCTTAGTGAGAAAGCTAAGAAAGGGTAAATATGAGAATAGGGAAGGCTAGTGTGGAGGTGTAAATATGAGCAAGTATGATAATACGTATATATGAAAATGCCATAATGAAACCCATTATCCCGTTGGTTAATGAAAAAAGAAAGGTCAAAAATCTATAAACTAAGCCCAAATAGATTCTAATCACTCCTCATGTTTTAAAGCACTGATTGTTTTGTTCTTATGTGTGTTATTTTCTATTTAAAAAAAGGAAAACTTATTTCATGAAGATACTGAATCCCCCAAATCAGCTCTGACCCGTGTAAGACTTCAGGCACTGCTTCTCAAATAGGCTAACCCAGTCCCCACAGGATAATACCTGGAGGCAAGTGAAAAGTTGGGAAAGGGGCAGGACTTTCTTAAACTTACTTTTCTTGCCTGAGGCATCTGACAAAGCCAGTATAATTTGGAGGGATTCAGATTAAGCATATGGGTAAACACTGTTTAAAAATGTATTCACTGTATTTTTGCTTCTAATGGCTTAATATAACAAAGGCAGAGAACATGCTGATAAAAATGTCCATTTTAGAGTTCCCAGCTGTTATCAAAAGCTATTTAGGTCACTGAAGGTCAATGCCAGGCAAGCATCCCTGCATGAGTCTGGGCAGTTGTCATGTGTCTGATGGGAATGCTTCTCACAGAAAGGGATTCTACTTGCTCTGATGCAAGTTCTATACAAGTCCTTGGTTTTCCTCTTCAGAGGCTATCCTGAATTCTATATCTCGTTTATAAGAAGGAGGAGTGAAAGTGTAGGGTCTGTATGTTTCTGAGGTTTACCCTATGCTGGCCTCGCCCAAAGTCCCTTCTTGTTCACCTTTCTCCTTACTTGAGGCTACAAGGGGGTGTGTCTGAGTGTGTGAGCAGGGTTGGCACTGCCTAAAGGGAAATTAGGAAGCTTTCCAGGCAATCTGATTTATGAGGCATTGAAAGGCATATCTGACCAAAAATATCTCTTCCACTGGCTTGCCACCAGTCCCTGAGATCTCTGTGATTAGAACTTCCCATTACAAGCTTGCCACAGACTTACACGATTTCTTTGGGTCCATAAAGTGGAAATTTCCTAATGGGAAATTTGGGAAGTAGGAAAATTGCAAAGTATCTCACTAAAATGATTTATTTTATCTTAGTCTGTCAATCCCTTGGCCATGAGTAGCATCCTGACAGGTCAGTGTCAGGTTAGTTCAAGGCCAGAAGGAAGGCTGGTAGCTTTGTCTGGCATCTTAGCAGGACTCTGAGCAATATGAGCCTGCAGGCCACTGGAGACAAGATGGCCAACATGAATTAAGGTATCAAAGACAAACTTACGTGTTTCAGTTACATTCAATACCAGGTTAGGGGGTAAGACCATATTAAGTGTCCTTGAAGGATTATCCTTTAAATTTCCCCTTTTCACTACTTCGATCTTGGTAACTTAGAATCATTAGCCCTGATGTAGCACTATGAACTGTTATTCATAAAGTAACTTCTGTGACAAAGGCCAAATGAATTTATGACTAGAGGGAGATATATTTGTAGAGACAAATTGATGAGTCATTTTATGACTTTGTGGATGCATTTTCCCTCAGTCTCAACTATTCACCACCTATATCTGAGTCACCACAGGTCTCAAAATGTTTCTCCTTAGCTGAGCATGTGTGGAGCACTTGGGAGATGGAAGCAGGGGGATCAGAAAGCCTCAGCTACATTTATTGTGAGGTCAGCCTAGGCTATATGAGAACCTGTCTTAAAACAAAACAAAACAACATAAATAAATAATCATCCCTATTCCCCACCCAGACTTTTGTAAAGGCCCTTGAGGGAGGGGATAGGACTCTATTGAAAGGCCATGTCTGCTGATTTTATACTTTCTACTTAAGAACTGTTGATTTAAAGGCTGTCATAGAGCATAGAGGTAAAAAGCATACATTCTAAAGGCAGTTATATCAGGAATCAAAGCCCAGCTTTGTCACTTAGTTATTCTATGACTTTGGACAAGTTCTTGGACCTTTCTGGCCCTTATTGTCAGGCTACTAATATTTTTGACCTTTAAGGGTATTATATGAGGGCTGAGGAGCTAATCCACATCAGTAATGTCAAACCTGACACATGATGAGGTCAAAGGCCATTATTCTGATGAGCATGTATGAAGACTTTTAGGCAATGGTTACTGGTAGCCAATATTTTGTTGAGTGGATACTCTATGAATGGTAAATTTAAAATTCTGTCTCAGCAATAAAAAAGTAATAATTGCACAGGGAACACCCAAGTGTGCTTTATAGTTCTTGTGTCCTTGACTCTGTACTAGAGTAAAGTCTGTTCTTTACCTCTGCATTGAAAGGAGTACTGTCCTTTTTAATGTATTCAGAAAATGAGCACATCATGTTACCTTGATTTTGTAAAAGAAAATGAATAATCCAGAGTATCCTCTCAAGTTACTGAACATTGGTGAATTATTATTGCATCTAATTGGAGATGCAAGTGTTGGAATTGGTTTTGTAATTGTATTTTTGTTACAGGGTCTTCATCCCAGAATAATAACTGAAGGCTTTGAAGCTGCAAAGGAAAAGGCCCTCCAGTTTTTGGAACAAATTAAAGTAAACAGAGAAATGGATAGAGAAACACTTATTGATGTGGCCAGAACATCTCTACGAACTAAAGTTCATGCTGAGCTTGCAGATGTCCTAACAGAGGTACTCATTCACCTTGTATGTGTGTGGTACAATGCTCACAGAAAGCCTTTGATAGTAGAAACAGCAGTGCTCTTGGTAGTTCACACATAAGGTCTTCACAGGCTCACTAGCTGCCATGTGGGTGCTGGGATTTGAACCTGGGTCTTCTGCAAGAAGTCTTCTGCGCCATCTCTCCAGACCCCTTTCTGTAGTATTTTTTAAAAATTATTTATTTAATAGCCACAAACTTAGAAGAAGCATTTCATTACATCAGCATTGACATATTCAATAACAATTTTCTGAGCTAGGGTGCATTTCTTACAAAATTGGTTGTACATTTTTAGGTTTACAGTTAAATTATTACAGTTATACAATATTGTACTCAGTATAAACCCTATAAGACATAAATTAAATGACGTTTTAACCTTTAAAAAAGATCTCCATTTCATTATTAAAATACACAGTTTCATACAGAAAAATTCTTTTTCAATGCAATTGACATTGGTATGTTTGCACATGCGTTTCTAATCTCTATATATCTGATTAATAATACATTTTAAAAAAATTTGTTGATTTTGTGTGTGTGTGTGTGTGTGTTTATCGCACAGAACATCCCAAACCATCTCATTTGACTATACACCCACTTCCCAGATGGCACCCTCCCATAGCCTCCCCCCCATCCCCCACTAGAGCCCTTGTACTCTGATATCCCTGCTACTGTCCGCTGTGTTGTTGGCACCCCCAGCCATTCTCCACTACTTGTCCTTCTGATGAATCTAGTCAGCCCATCTAGAGGTCTTTCTTTTAGGAGGGTCAGCTGTTCCTCATCTAGAAGTAATCAGTTGTCAATATTCCTTTAGATAAGATTGGGGTCTGCTGTTCATTTTCCAAGTTCTATGCTGGGTTACTACCTGGGAGTCCCTTTGGCCACCGTGGCCAAGAACTCAAAAGAAATTATTGCCTATCTGGCATTGTTGCTTGTTATGTAGCCTTTAGCTATGCATATGGACTCTTAAGAAATTATATTGGCCCCTTTAATCTTTGGTTATACTTTCCTTTTGGGTGTTTATTTTTATTTTATGTATATGTGTGTATTGCCTGCATGTAGGTAAGTGCATCCATATCGTGCAATGCCTGTGGAGGACAGAAGAGGCTGTCTGATCCCCTGGAACTGGAGTTGTGGATAGCTGTTAGCTGCCATGTGGGTGCTGGGATTCGAACCCGGGTCTTCTGCAAGAACAGTGTTCTTAACCTTTGAGCCATTTCTGCAGCCCCCTTTCTGTAGTATTTTATCTTCTCTCACTCCACTAACTCTTCAGATACAATTAACAGAAAGAGTTTTAGAAAAAACTTAGTGATAAATGTTCAGAAATTTAAAAATTAGAATGCCTGCAAGTGAAGGAATGGGCTGGCCGAATGTATTCTACTTTGAACTCTCTTGCATTCCCTTACTAGAAGAGACCACTTGGTTCTGGTTCCAGTGGCCACTTTTCTTTATTCCCTCTGTCTTTATCCTCTGTTTCCTGCCTCTTTGTACCCATCCTTGACTGACAGAGTGCTTACAGTCCACATGTCTTCCCTGTTTCCTTATCTCTCTATATAGCACAAGTCAGAGCTGAGAGAATTGATTTGAAATGCTGTCAAATTCCACAGGGTAGCTCCTTCAGGGCCATTATTGGTGAATGCAAAAGTAGCTTTTCCACTCAGATGAACCTTATAAAGCATGACCAAGAGGAAAAAGCAAAGTTAAAAAAGTTAAATTACTGTTTCATCGTAATATAACTTGTGGCAAGCAGCACCACTCTAGTGGCAACAGAACTGTGAGAGAAAGATATTAGAAAATTGTGCAACCGCAGAATGAATCAAAGGACTACATTACCTAGAGTTGGGAGAAGGAAAACCTGAGGGAAATGACCTTCAGGGCTCTTCTTCAACCAGGATCCATGAGAAAGAACCAATAGGAAAATGACACAGTTGGCATCACTTCTCATGGACTCTTTACTGAATGCCAGAATCCTTTCCATAGTTGAGACATGAACTTTGTGAATTAAAATGCTTAGGTTCAAATCCAGGCTTCCCAATTATAAGAAGAGAGCCCTTTGTCTCTCTCTCTATGCCCTGTGCTTTCTGTGCTCATCTGGGAAGTGGACATAATAGCGCACATCAGGAATGTTCAGGATGGCGAAGGAGAGTAACACAAATAAAGCACTTAGGAAAGTGCCTCACTTGCAATTTAGTTTTATTTATGAGTATTGTGTGGGGATGGGTGGGTGCACATAGAATGGCACACGTGTGGAGGTCAGAGGACAACTTCGTATTGTCAGTTCTCTCTACCTTTATGTGAGTACCAGGGATAGAACTCCAGTCATCAGGCTAGCATCATCAGGTGGCAAACACCTTTCTTTACCCATTGAGCCATCTTGCTGGCCCTCACTTGTAAAATCTTAATTGCCGTCTGTTGTTAGCCTGTATTTTTTATTCATCAGGTTTATTCACAATTCCTGATAGTGTCCAGGAGCTCTGAGCAGATCATTGTACTGATACTGTGACATTTGCTAGCAGGGAGTTGTTTTTCTTCCTGGCAAGCATGGTTCCTTGTCCGACTGCTATTCCCTCCTGTTCAAACAAGTAAACTGTGACTTATCCAATCCTGGGTCTCAAGTATTCTATATCTCTACCATGGAGCTATATTGCCAACCCTAAACCTTCACTTAATGGAACAAGCAATCTCACATTTTAAAAATATCTATTTGAAGCCAGGTGTGGTGGCACATGCCTTTGATCCCAGCACTCGGGAGTCAGAGGCAGGTGGATCTCTGTCAGTTCAAGGCCAGCCTGGTCTATATAGTGAGTCCCAGGCCAGCTGGGGCTACAGGGAGACCCTGTCCAAAAAAAAAAAAAAAAAGAAAAAAGAAAAATCTATTTGACCTAGTGCATATTTCTTTTTCACCTGAACTTTTAGTTATTCAGTGTATGTGGACATTAGAAATAAGAGGCCTTGTCATTTTAAAAATTACAGGTTTCAAATGTAGTCACTAATGCTTGAGTAGTAGAGAAACATTTAAATTTCTCTGGTGAAACTGTAGGAACCCAGGGACTGGAACATCATGCTTGAGAAAGTATTTTCAGGCACATCATTCTTTGAGAGAATGATTAAAAAACAAACTATCAGTCATGCAAGGAACACTCCTTTGCTTCTGTTCCATTTTTATCATACCAATGTCCCTTGCAAAATTGAGGTTGTTCATAAATATTTTCCTTTCAAACTGTGGGAAATAAGTTATGAGTAACTTTGGCTCTTTGATAAGGTTGCATTAGGAGACTGCTTATCATCTAAACAATGAACACAAAAGCTGTACAGTCCTGGGGCCTCTGACAAGAGGCCAAGAGGGTGCTCACCCTTATTCTCAGGCATTCCAGGGGAGTGGCAAAGGGACAGCCACTGCCAGACATCTTCAAAGTCCTGTTTCCCACCCTTCAGAGGCCCTATGTTTCTGATCATTTAGGTTTTGTAAGAACCTAAAGTGTCCTGAAGAACTGTTTACCCGTACTGGGACTTGCTGTCTGTTTAATACAGCCAGATGGACACTGATTCTGGACTCATGGTCACATCCCCATAGATTTGACCTCATTTAGTGGACACTATTAAAAGATTATCCTATTATCAAGAGTTTCCATTGCATCAAATACTAAATATTAGTAACATTCCTCTACAGGGAAAATGATGTAAGAGGAGGGCACATACTGTGTTGACCTCAGGCACATCATGAGGATAAATATGTGGAAATTACATAACAGCCCGCTGACTAATAAAGTCCAGCGGTACGTGGAGCAAAGCTCTAGGGGCATAGACTTTCCCAGCAGCTCCTGAAGGATGTGTTTGGGTTCATACGCTGCCATAGATGGAAGTTTAGTTTGATTCAGTTGACTTGGGACTGAGGTGGTTATTTTGTAGGAAGCTCAGATGAGAACATACATGGGAGGATGGAGTGTAGTAGGGTCATGAGAATTGACTTGCACTGTTTGTTCTTTACTCTTACAAATGAGGAATACAGGGTTCTTTCCATTTTTTCTCCTCTCATATTGATCTTCCATTTTCAAATTGTTCTCCACTTTGGAAACCAAAGGATGCTCATAGAATGTTTAAAGCTACAGTGGAAGGGCTGCACATGATTTCAGAATCAAGGCATTAAGGAATTATTATAATAAGGATGTTTTGTTTTGTTTCTGTTTTGTTTTGTTGAGACAGAGTCTCCCTGTAGCCCCAGCTGACCTGGAACTCACTCTGCAGAGCAGGCTGGCCTAGATCTCTGCCTCCCCAATGATGGGATTAAAGGTATGCACACCAGGCCTAGCAGGTCTTTTTTTAATGTTGCAAAAATATATGCTTGAAAGAGCAGCTGTAAGGAGGAAGATTCTGGTCACAGAGGGCTTGTGTTAATTCACTTTCTGTTGCAAGAAATACCTGAGATAAACATCATAAATGAGGAAGGTTTTATTTTTGTTATAGTATTAGAAGTTCTAATCCATGGCCACTTAGCCATGTTGTCTTTGGGCCTGTAGTGAAGCAAAACATCATGGTGGGAATTTGTGTTAGAGCAAAGCAGCTTACCTAGTAGTCAGAAATCAAAAAGGTCAAGAAAGGAAAGAAGGAGGGTCCAAGTATCCCCTTCAAGGGCACCCTCCCAGCGATTTAACATCTTTCCTCTTGGTCCCATCTCCTGAAGAGTCCAACACCTCCCAGTGACATCAGGGTTGGTGACCAAGCTGTTAGCATGTGGGCCTTAGGGGGACATTTAAGATCCAAACTGGAAAATGTATTAGTGCCCAACAATCTGGTAACTAGATAAAATTAAACTTTCAGTTATGATTTTACTTGACATTTTAAAAACAATTGACTAAATTTTAATTATTAAAAATGCAAATTAGTACATGATCTGTGAAAGGCAGTCAAACAATACAGATATATATGAAATAATGGGGGTAGAATCTACTTTCTCTTACAAAGACAGATACTGCTAGAATCTGCCTCTCAGACATTTTAACACACTATATAAGGTAATAAATGTGTCATTGGGTGGGGGAATAATTATGTATTGTTGTCAAGGTTTGTTCCCCCTACTTACTTGTTCCATTGGACATATTCTGTTATTTAAAAAATTAGCCATCATTGCTGCTGTTCTTTTTAAAAGGTAATAGTTATTTTAAGTGAGGTGAAATGGAAAATCCTGTATCTGATGTTTTCAAACTATTTACTTACCAACAAGTTTTATAGGTTGCTTGTAAATTGTAAAACCAGATAGCAATCCATCTACCAGGATAAGCTAGGAATAAGTAAGAAGTGGAGAGACATGCTTCAAGCAAAAATAGATTTTACAGGCCTATGGGTAATATAATCACAATTACTTAAAAAATGTATATGTGTCAGGCGTGGTGGCGCATGCCTTTGATCCCAGCACTCGAGAGGCAGAGGCAGGCAGATCTCTGTGAGTTCAAGGCCACCCTGGTCTACATAGTGAGTTCCAGGCCAGCTGGGGCTACAAAGAGACCCTGTCTCAAAAAGACCA